GCACTTAGCCAAACGGCATGACAGGTATATTTTATCAAAGTTCTGGATGACCCTAGAGAAGGATATCGTAAGCATGGTGAAGAAGTTTTTTAAATCAGAAGAAATAAATGAAAGATTGAACAAAATGAATATCTATCTGATCCCAAAGACAGAGCGACCAAAAGACATGACGGAATTTCAGCCTATTAGTCTTTGCAATGTATGTTACAAAATCATATCCAAGATTCTTTGCAAACGACTTAAGAAGATTATTCCAAAGATAATTTTTGAAACTCAATCCACTTTTGTAACGAAGCGGCTGATCACCGATAATATCCTTATTGCTTAGGAAGTATTCCATGTTTTTAGAACCAATCCTACTTGCAACTCTAAGTTCGTGGCAATCAAAACCGACATGAATAAGACGTATGATAGTGTAGAGTAGAATTTCCTGGAAGCTTGATGTTGATATTAAAAATGGGATTTGACCACAAATGGGTGGGGTGGATGATGAACTGTATTTCGTCTATGTTGTATCAGGTACTTCTAAACGAAAATCCTAGAGGCAATATAAAACCACCGAGAGGTTTGCAACAAGGAGATCCACTTTCTCTTTTCCTCTTTATTATCCTTACGGAAGGCCTGATTAGCCAAGTTAGAGGAGTAGAGGACGAGGGACGTATTACAGGTCTTAAGATAGCCAAATCTAGCCCGCCAATCTCACATCTTCTGTTCGCTGACGACAATGTCTTCTTCTGTAAGGCAGACATCCTGAAATGTGCAGAGCTGCTCATAATCATAAACCTATATGGCAAAGCTTCAGGCCAACAACTAAATTTTTCTAAATCCTCAATCCTTTTCGGGAGCAGGGTTAAACCTGAATGCAAACTCGAATTAAAGAGAGAAATTAGAATCAACAAAGAAGGTGGTATGGGAATGTATCTTGGACTCCCGGAAAGAATCTACGGTTCCAAAAAACAGGTCGTTGAAGTTACTGTCTAAAGAGGGCAAAGAAGTGCTATTAAAATCGGTTGCTCAAGTCATTCCGGCGTACATTATGTCGTGTTTTCTGCTTCCTCAGGATGTTATTAACAAGATGAGAAGTGCGATCGCAAAGTATTGGTGGAGCTCAAAAGCAGATAAGAGGGGCTTACACTAGATGGTTTGGGAAAAAATATGTATCCCGTAAGATAAAGGTGGTCTCGGCTTCCAGGATCTCAAATACTTCAACTTAGCTCTTTTGGCGAAATAACTTTGGCGACTGATTCATTATCCACACTCGCTCCTAGCAAGGGTTTTGAAAGGAAGATATTACAAGTACTCTACTCCCTTAGACGTTGAGAAATCGAGTTCTCCTTCATTTGGATGGCGCAGTATAATGACGGCTAAGCCACTGCTACAGTTGGGACTAAGAAAGGCGATAAACTCTGGATTCAATACCAGAGTCTGGACAGACCCTTGGATCCTGGACACTCCGGCGAGGCCAGCACAAGGGAATGATATCGGTAAGGACCCAAACCTCTACGTTAACCACCTGATTGATTTTGAATCCAAAACATGGAACGAAAGAAAAGTACGTGAGGTGATAGCTCCTGCGGATGTCCCGTTGGTTTTAAGATTAAAGCTTACGCGTAATTTTGAGATGGGCGGATACAGTTGGATACATATAAATTTGGGCAACTTCTCGGTTAAATCAGGTTATGAATTGGCTTGTTCTGCAGAGGAAGAAAAAAATGGAAGAAAAGTGCTAAAACCAAACGTAACTGGACTGAAAAACAGAGTGTGGAAAGTACGAACTTCAAGAAAAATCAAACATCTGATGTGGCAAATTCTCGCAGGATGTGTTGCAACGAAAGAGAGATTAACAGACCAACATTGCGGGAATGACAGACTATGTCCTTGCTGCGGAACAGAGGATGAGACGAATAACCATCTTTTCTTCCAATGTCCTGCATCTCGTCAAGTCTGATCCCTATCGCCAATCATACAACATCTAGAATCATTTCCGTGTAATGCTCTCTTTCCCAACATGAATTACCTCATAACGAAGGCCACTAGCTTGGCAAAGGATGATACCAATTTCTGCATTGCCCCATGGATATTATGGTACTTGTGGAAAACTCGCAATGCAAAGATGTTTAACAGAATAGAGACTGCCCCTCAGGATTCAGTCAATCTAGCAATACAGGAGGAACAGAGCTGGAGGATGGCCGTTTCAGAGAGTAAGTCAAGCGAGAGATCAGCAGTAACAACAATTGCATCAGACCCAATCCCCATAGCCCTCTTAGGTGAAGATGACTACTGTCAAGCCGATGCATCGTGGATCAATAAGCAAGAACTCTTTGGAGGAGGCTTTGTGTTGCTGCGAAATGGTACAATTCGACTAATAGGATTTTTTGTAGGAAAACCGGTGCTCTCCCCCCCTTCATACTGAGTTTGAAACAGTACTCTAGGCTATGAAAACGCTCCTGGACCAAAGGATGTCAAAAATCCACTTTCAGACGGATTGCTTACAACTTGTTAAACTCATTAAAGGAGAAGAGGAAGGTCCGAACTTTGCATCAGAACTCGAAGAATACACATTTATGTGTAATAGTTTTCTAAAGTTTCTTTATCTTTTTTTTCTCATTCTTTAGATTCCCAGACAAATATACTTGCAAAAGCTGCACAGGCTCGAAATTCTGTTTTTTCCCATATAAACTCTATTATTCCAGACCGGACAGTCGTCACAACTAACCGTTGGGTGCCAAACGCTTAATCAATAATATAGATCTTCGTTGTAAAACAAAAATTAATATCAAAGGAGTTTTAAAAACATCGGCATAAACAAAGAGCTTTAATCTACGCATCCTTAGATTTAATCTAAACGGTAGTGAAACATGAATATTTCATATTAATTTAATTTAATTAATTTTTAATTTTAGGTTAAACAAATTAATTCTTTAAAAAATAAAACGCTCTTAACAGAATCCAATCTCTATTTTTCATTAGAAAAAATAAATGAAATTATATTTTGACTTTCTCTTTGACTTTTACACTAGAAAAATCACAATGACTATTTAAGTATAAATCTTCTGGTCAAATGAAAAAAAGTAAATATTTGAAAAAAAATGAGATGACTTTATTTTTAAAACTAGAATTAAACAAGGTCGTTGTTTTCTATCGACCCACATTAAGTTAGTCAACTAAAAAAGATATCACTATAGATATATAAAAAAAGAAGAAGATTTCCTTAGTTATGACTTATGAGTTATGAGATACATAAGACTTCAATATTTTCATTATCGGTTGACAAATTTATAAAAATCGATCTGATAAAATTTTCAAAAGATCTTTTTTTTTTTTTTTTTTGAAAATGATCTTTTTTTTTTAGTAAATATCAATTTGAAGAATTATTTGAATTCAACTTATCTGACAATTTAAATCATTATAGTTTTGTTTCAACCAAATAATTCAAAATTTACAAAAACATACCCTAAGACTTTTCAAATAAATACCTGAACAAAAGTAAACTAAATTTTAAAGTTCTTGTTTATAAATAAAATTAGAACAGTCATGAGTTTTAGGTATCAATTTCATATTCCGACGTGGAACATATGAGATTTGACAATAGAAACCAAAAACAAGAAAGAAACGAGTCTAGAAGACAGAAGATTAATGTTGGTCAACGTGAAGGCTTCAAAATTCATCTTTTGCAGTTTTTGATTTTGACTGGAAAAATCTTTGTGGAATGTTACTGGTCTTTGAGGCTGCCAAAATTGCATTTATTTCACGACACTCGTGTGGTCCATTGTCTGCCACTATGACAATATTGATTCTAGCTTTTATGCACTAAGATTTGAGCCATATAATGTCATTAATATATACAAAATATGTATAGAAATAATCGGAATTCTATTCTTTAAACCAAAAAGCTTACACTTTTCCTTTTTTTTTTTAGGTTTTTCTATAAGCTGTCAAGTGAAATGCATTATATATCGTTAATGAAAATATTAAAGAATAATGTAGAGCGAAAAATAAGTGAACAGCGTTGAAACATCAATACGTGTTTGAGTTCATTATTGAGGAGACGGTGGGAAATCTCAACCAAACCTTCTCTAATGAGTGGCTTACCTTAAAGAAAAATACATATCTATTTTAGAATTATTGTCGCTTAGAGTCATATAACTAGATTTTAAAATCAAATCAAGAACATTCCTACTATTTATGTTTAATAAAAGGGCACAGTTCAACTGTTCCTACGTTTTATTCTTGTTTATGCCGACATGATATCTGCAAAACTATCGATATTTTCCAGTGAACACTAATATATGAAAACATATACATTTGGTCCCTCTCGTCAAGTAAAACATTACGACCGCACATTCCAAAATTTCATTATCATTTATGAATAATACGGAAATGAAAATTCTGAATTCTTGTTTAGCAAAACTATTAGAGAATGGGTATATCGTATATGATGTTGGTTCTTGAGTTCTGATTTTTAGTAATTTTTTATAAAGAAGAATTATGGTGTCTCATTAGTCACTAGTCAATAAATTAAAAGAATTCCGGTCCTTTTTTCCATCAAATACAATCTCACATTACATAGTTCAAATTGATCACTCAAATCCAAATATCGAAAATGAAAAACAAAATAAATTGGACTTAATGTTAAGTTCGCAGGTCCCCTACTCCGACACATTTTCGTTGCATCTACCCACAATGACCACTCTTTTTCACAATTTTTGGTGCAAATCCACCAAAAAAAAAGCAATTCAGACTTCAGGTAAGTCAAACAAAATTATAAGAAACATTGAGGACCGTCTTGAAATTTCTACTACAGTTCTTTCATGGAACTTTCGCTGAAAGCTGCTACAACGCTACTTACTCGGTGTGTACACCTGAAACTAAACCTCTATATATAGAAAACAAACTCACTTCCCAAGATATCAAATCATAATTCCTAAATCTCAACAAAACAAAACAAAAAGACAACACAAACCCTTTGAAGAAACAAGAGAATCTAAGAAGAAACAAAAATGGTGGCTTTGACGGCAGAGAAGCAAGATCGTAATGTACTGTCGAGAATCGCCTCCGGTGACGGTCACGGCGAGAATTCGTCTTACTTCGATGGATGGAAAGCGTATGAAGAAAACCCATTTCACCCAGTTGAAAGACCCGACGGAGTTATTCAGATGGGTCTCGCTGAAAATCAGGTAATTTAAAAAAAAAAATCCAAACTTTTTCTCTCGATCTCTTTCCGTAACCTAAAAATTCTAACTTTTGGGCGTTTTTCTTTAACTGTGTAGCTTTGTGGAGATTTGATGCGTAAATGGGTTTTAGAACATCCAGAAGGTTCGATTTGTACAGCAGAAGGTGTGAATCAGTTCAGCGACATTGCGATTTTCCAGGACTATCATGGCTTGCCCGAATTCAGACAAGTAAGTTCGATTTCCGGCGATCTTTCATCAAAGCACAATACTTTTTGGTTGATTGTTTTTCAAAGATATTAACTTTATTGTTGCTTTCTTTAATTCTTCAGGCTGTAGCGAAATTTATGGAGAAGACAAGAGATAACAAAGTTAAGTTTGATCCTGACCGGATAGTCATGAGCGGCGGCGCAACCGGAGCACACGAGACGGTTGCTTTCTGTTTAGCCAATCCCGGCGACGGTTTCTTAGTCCCGACTCCTTATTATCCAGGGTAAGTTCAAAGATCAAAATTGGTCATTGCACATAAGAGTTTGGTTTAATCTGGTTTTGATTTGATCTAACTTGGTTTGATTTTGGTTTTTTTTTTCAGGTTTGATAGAGATTTGAGATGGAGAACCGGAGTGAATCTTGTACCGGTTACTTGTCATAGCTCTAACGGGTTTAAGATCACGGTGGAAGCCTTGGAAGCTGCGTACGAAAACGCGCGTGAATCGAATATTCCGGTTAAGGGTTTACTCATAACTAATCCTTCGAACCCGCTCGGTACGACGTTAGACCGGGATTGCTTGAAGTCTCTGGTTAATTTTACCAATGACAAAGGGATCCACCTCATTGCTGATGAGATCTATGCTGCAACTACTTTTGGTCTATCCGATTTTACTAGCGTTGCTGAAGTAATCGAGGAGATTCCTGATTGCAACCGCGATTTGATCCATATTGTGTATAGTCTATCGAAAGATATGGGTTTACCCGGTTTAAGAGTCGGTATAATATATTCTTACAATAACCGGGTGGTTAACATCGCAAGGAAAATGTCGAGTTTCGGTCTGGTCTCGTCCCAAACGCAGCATTTGATCGCCAAAATGTTATCCGACGAAGGCTTTGTAGACGAGTTCCTCCGCGAGAGCAAACTACGGTTAGCTGCAAGACACGCAGAGTTAACCACCGGTTTAGACGGTTTAGGCATTGGTTGGTTAAAGGCCAAAGCCGGTTTGTTTCTATGGATGGATTTAAGAAGTCTCTTGAAGACAGCTACATTCGACTCGGAGACGGAGCTATGGCGTGTGATCGTCCACAAGGTGAAGCTGAACGTTTCTCCAGGTGGTTCGTTCCATTGCCACGAACCGGGATGGTTTAGAGTGTGTTTTGCGAACATGGACCACAAGACGATGGAGACGGCTCTTGAGAGGATCAGAGTGTTCACTAGACAACTCGAGGAGGAGAGTTTGAACCGGACTAAACCGATGGCTGCGACAAGTATGATGGCTAAGAAGAAGAAGAAGTGTTGGCAGAGTAGTCTCCGGTTAAGCTTTAACGACACGAGACGGTTCGAAGATGGCTTCTTCTCGCCTCATTCGCCGGTGCCGCCTTCTCCGCTCGTACGTGCACAGACTTGAGAGTTGAGACAGTTTCAATTTTTGACTAGACCAGCCGTCGTAAATTGAAAGATCAATTCTTTAACATTGATTGTGACGTTTGTCTGATTAAATGTATAGCTACGATTATCAAGTTGAATTATTTTTATAAATTATCTCATGTAAGTGTAACCGGTTGAATAATATATATGCGAAATCAGAATTTCTTTAACCGTGATTGAACACCGATCTGATTTCTAGCAAGAAAAAAGTTCTGTTAAGTATCAAGAAAACTCAAATTTGATGAACTAGTTATACTATTAGATGTTCTCAATCGTTACAGAAAGTCTTTATTTTTTTTTTTATTGTACATTACAATAAAAATCACCTAGTATACTTGTATCATGTAATCACGTAACACTAAAAGGTATGACAAAATCATTGAAATATCACTTGAATATATAGAGCAGTTACAATATTATTAAACCAGAATAAAAATAGAATATTATAAATAATTATTGCAGCATCGCATAATCTATCTTCTTATTCTATAGATTGTTATTAATCTGAAAGTAAAGCAAAGTAAAACTCCGAACTTAAAGCTCAACGTTTCTCCAGGCGGTTCGTTCCATTGCCGGAATGGTTTATGGTATGATGGTTTGCGAACATGAACCACATGATGATGGAGACGGGATCTAATGGAGCAAATGTTAATAATTAACGATGCTATAAACATAAAAGGTATATGAGGATTTACCTTTTAACATTGTATGGTTGATGTATGATTAGAAGTTGTTTATAAAAAGATAGTTTCGAGCAGAACCAAACAAATATCAATCGTTGCAAAAAAAAAAAAAAAACTTATTTTCTTGATCGTACATATTACTTTGGGAAATTGGCTGATATAGCCATATCAAAAGCTATAACTCAGAAAATAACCATACTAAAGTAGGTGTTATTATATTTCTTATATATTTTACAATATATACCAAAAACCCCTTTGTTTAAAATGAAATGAAAATAATTGCTGACGTTAGTAGTAAAAAATGAGAATAAATTTTAACATATTAATTGATACATATATAAAAAGAGTCCACCATTATAATTGGCGATCTTGATTTTGCAGTCGCTATTTGATTTGAATACACGACTGATAAATAGATTATCACCCTCATATGGTACATCATTCAGGACAAATTCCACGCTTGTAGGTACTATACAAGTTAATAGGTCATAGTGTTTCAAATGAGTACAATACTATACTATATGCTTCACATAGTCGTACAAATAAGCAGAAACTCTCTTGCTTCTTTTAGTACTGCGTTCCAGGATTCGGCAATGTTGGAGTCCATTATGTTGAATCGATTTCCCTTGAAGTGGGCACGCGTCCAATGTGCAAATCCTAAAAACAATAAAAGACGACTATGTTATGTGTACTATTCTATAAGGTCCTATACTATAACATCTGACATATAGTATAGTATTTGTTACCTATGTCAACAAAATAAGCCGCACATCCAAGGTTCATGCGTTGGATCTCTACAAACAAGTGATTGAAGTCCCTCACAGTGTATGCTCTTGCCGCTGCAGAGACCATATGAGCTAGGCGTTTTGATTTGTAGAGGGCCTTGGCGTTGCAGCAAAGATGAACAGTGCAAGCACCAAGCACCTATACAGCAATGACGTCACAAGCAAATTTAACAGTTACTATTTAAAATTGAAGGACTGTATTGTAATTTCTCTAAGGGTCATGGTTATTTATCAAATTTTTTTAATAAAATAGCTATATTCTTGGATTGTTTTTCCAATATAGTTATTAGGCTAAAAAACCCTATTACTTTGTCCTTCACATTAAAAATAAAAATCACCAAGTATACTTGTAATCTTGTAATATACATCCAAAGTATGACAAAATCATTGAAATATCAATAAAATATATAATAGAGTTACAATATCTATAAACCAGTATAAATTAGAATATTACTGATAAATATTGCACTGCCTGCTTATAGTATAGATTATACTAATATAAAAGTTTCATCATAAATAATTTAAAGCAGTCGAAGTATAACCAAACATAAAATAGACGACATATGAAAATATAAATAGTTACGGATTATCACATATTCGGCCAACCTATGTTCATTGCGAGTCTGCAATGCAACACCATCTATTTAGGAAATTAATTAAAAACAACAAGATGACTATAACATACATAACGGCGACTAAGATAAGTGCCATAACCCAAGACTCCATACTGTTTTTTTTTTTTACCACACACACCAAAAAAAACTTGATTCTAATTTCGTTTATGTGTCTTTTTATGTTTCTTGTGTAAAAGTTTTAGTTATATATACATATTTCACGAACACAAAAATGTAAATTTTTTTCTATATGTATCGGTGAAAATGGCAAAGTGTACGATTTGTCATTAAAAATATTAACTAGGATAAATTGTAAATGTTACAATTACTTTTTAGGGAAATAACCTAAAATGAAAAACTAGTTTCGAACATAACTTTTTATAACAGAAATTGTATATACAAACATATATAAAATAACTTATAAATAATAGTGCTACCTCTTCTAGATATTTTCTCATTGTAAACTAATAGCACACTAATGCCAGACAAATCTTATTATACAGTTTTAAGTACACTAGATCCATATTAATAGCAGAGTAAAGGCAAATTAATGGGACTATGATTGCATTATGCATATTAGTACATCTCTTACAATTTTCTTTGTAAAATGTAGTTTTCACATTAAAATTATCAAATGGACTATCTAAACAAATGACTCTTAGTTTTATTCAAAAAAAAAACTAGAATTTGTTTTTTCTTTAACTTTACATTTCATTTAATGCTATTTTGTTGATTGTAATATCATCACAAATGCACGTATATTAAATATTAAGTGATCAGCCTGCACCGTGTGCATACTATAAAATATTTTATATAATCAATATATAATTAATATAACATTTTATATATTCAATATATAATTAACATTGTATACTGATCTATTATTAATTGTATATGACTAATCATGTTTTAAGTAACAATATTAAATAAACATCTAATAATGAAAAATAACTATAGATTAAATAAAAAGTGTTATAGATTTCAATATAAAGTGTATATATGATAACTAAATAAACTGAAAAATTAAACCATATTGAAAAATAAGATTTTAAAAATATCAAAAGTATAAAAACTAAGCAAGATTTTGAAACACTTTTTTATAAACGACGTTCATAATTTTCTTTTGCATTTTTCCTTCTTTACCTGTTATGAGAAATTTAAGTCCAGATCTAGACTTAATTCTAGATAATATAACATATAGCTGTCCATGAGATAAAACTAGCCTAGGTATAAATAGACCAACATTCTCAAGTGATACCTTGGCTTTTGTTAATAGTCATTGCGAAGCAAAAGCTAAAGGGAATTGTCTTCGACGCATTTTGAAAGAAAACCTTGTGTCTGGTGGTATCACATACATCCTATAGATTATAACTATTTGATCAATCAGTTTCTCATTTCCTGTGACAATTCTACCTCCAACCACATATCGAGCCATATAAGTAATAATAAGTCTAGTTCCATTGCATATTCCACCCTTATGATCAATGTTACGAAGACACATGACTGGAGCACCAACCTTTAATTTCAAGCAATGCTTCGTTAATCCAGAAGCTTTGATGCTATTCAAAAGCTCATTTGGATAGTCCACAATATTTAATGTGTCTTTATCTGAATGAATAATGCTGTAAGAGCTAAGGCATGCTTTCTCTTCACTTGGGATATCTATATAATAAAAATATAAATATGTAAGGGTATGATTTTTTTGATAGTTAATTATAATATTTAAGTATTGATTAGTTTTTCCATACATTTTGCAAACAAATGCAGTTTTAGTATCTAAAAACAATTAAAAACATTTCATATTGTTTTATACTTTTTAAAACTGATTTATTTTTCAAACAATTATTTTTCTAGCGTTTATAGTGACATATAATTGCAAATATAAAATTATATTAAATAATAATTAAATTCTTATAATATTGTTTTTTGAATATTATATATACTATATTTTATTTTCTCCTTACACAATATAATTTTTCTAATACATATATATATATATTAAGTAAATATTTATTTCATTTCTTGACTTATTACAAATTAAACAAAATTATAATCTTTACTTATCCTAAGAACGGATAGATGGTTGATCCGCACATAAATATTTTTTAAAAAAGTATAATTTGTCTAATATTAAAATTGAACTCTAATCGAAGTTAACAAAATGCATGCATGATAAGTTCGTATGCGACTTCGACTTTTATGCAATTAATATTCATATTTGCATGTTTATTTTTGGAAAAATTGAATTATGGATTTTATGTGTTAGAACAAAATAACAAAGCATAGTTTTGCTTCTTATAATTTTTAAATGAATCCGTAAAATAAAACACGAGAGTTTTACAGAAAATCAAAACTGTAGAGATATGGTTTATTTTTATTTCTATTTCGTACTCATATTTTATGCAATCTATTATGAATATATGTAAAAAAATTAAAATCATAATAATTATCATTTTATGTTAATTTAATTTGTTAATTTTAGTGTTATGGTGAAATCTCTATAAATTAATAATCACTACAAATTTATAAATTTTACCTATCTTGATTCCGGTCAGTATAAAAATTAGCAAACTTTGATAAGATAATATGTTTTTTGGAACTTCTATGTTAAATTATGGTCCCAAGATTTATACATTTAGACTTATATAAATTATATAATATAGTAAAATATGATTATATTTTGTTTTAATTTTATAAACTTTATTTGATTTATCTTCCAAATTCATTGTTATGACATTTTCTGAATGAATTTACATTATTATAAATTGATTTTTTTTGTTTTGATGATCATTAAGAATTCAAATCAAAAAATATCTTTATAAACTAATAAAATATTATTTTATTATTAATTTATCGATTAATTAATAATAATAATAATATAAATTAATAAAAATTTAA